GAGGGCTCTCTGTCCTGTGTCTGAAGGGGGACCCCCCACCCAGATCCTTCTCCAAAACCCATTCTCCAAACTGTCTTTTGGGAAGGGCGGTCACTCGTGGCTTTTTTGAATTGTCTCTATATAAATTTGCATACCAAAACCTCTGGGAGATTATGTTTACTTTTTAATCCAGCATTCCCCAAACAATTTTACCACTGCATCTTTTTCTCAACATCTACTAAGAATCTGCACTTTTCGGCACTTTCTAAGCAAGAACCATATCCCACATTTGTGAGGCTACAGAAGACTTGAAGAGAATCTATATGGGAGATGATGGGCACCAAAGACAGTCTTAAAGCCTTGGACAAGGAAGTGCTTTATCAGCTAACATCATACAGCTGATCACAACTTTCCAAGTCCTCTTTGGCTAACCTTGAACTCCCTTAATAACATAAAATAGGCTGTATTTCACCACATTACTGACAGGACTCTCATTAAGGAATTTGCAAAAGGCTTTGCTGAAATCTAAATTAGTTTGTTTAAGGTATTTTCCTCCACCAACCTAATGCACCTCTCAACAAAGGAAACGATACACATTGGCAATAGTCAAACACAAAAGAATACAAGACATCTAGCATCTGCATGGCTTCCATGCAAATATTTTTTAAGCTCAGATTTTTTTTAAATAGCATTATAATTTATATAATAGACTTCAATTTATATTGAGTCTCCCTAGCACTTTAATTCGTCTTTTCTGTAAACAAATGGATCCGGTTAGGAATTTATTTCCTATATCATCCAGGAAACTGAGGTTGTCTTTTTTGGAAGTGGCACAATGACCATGGCTTTAGCAGAATTTCAGTCAACCTGTACTTAATAGTGAATACTGAAAATACTAGTCGATGAATCTGATCCTCATAGATCTTAATATCTAGAGGATAAAGAAAAAGTTTTTGTTACTAAAGTATAAAATGAAGCACATAGAGGTATACAAATCTGACATAAAAACCAGACTTGCCTGCCTTTCAATGGACACCATAACAAAGATTCTCTTAGGACAAATGCAAAAAAAAACATTATGAACCTTTAATTTTCACACAAATGGGCCTCACCCCGAAACACAAAAAAATTCACGTAAGGTAAAAGAAAAGCACTGATGTAGGTGCCACTTTAAGCCATACATATGCTTTCAAACACAAAAGAAATGCTGTTTTCGCAAAGGAAAACCTTAAAGTTCTATGTTTTACAGTCTGTGTTAAATTGCCCTTTTCCATAAGGAAGTACTTTTTTTCAGGAATATTAACAAAGATCCTTGCGAATTTGTATTTTACCTGGAAACACTTTCACTTTTAGTATCCCCCAAAACCCAATCTCATCATGTTAGAAAAGTCATCATTTTTTATATTTATTTCGCTATACTATGGTATTTTAAAGACGAAGGCTTAAGAATCTCACAATCATCTCTAGGCTGCACAGTTGCAAAAGTTCACTATAGGTAACTATTTTTTGTCATTCTCCACTATAGAACTATTATGTTCCTCTCTTTTATGGATGAGGCAAATGATAGAAATCTGCCCAAGGTCACCTAAGAGAGCGGGAGAACCAGTTTGAACTGAGCACACCTGATTTCTATTCACTCACCTAATTTACCGAGCCACCTGATCTTTCCAAAAAACGCCAAAGCAAACTATGCCTCCCTTAAAGGAAAAAGCTCCACTTTAAATTATTTTTTAAAACTTCTCTGAAGCTTTTCCATGATAGCTGCCACAATGTCAAACATAAAATTAAAACTTCACAGCAGGACTTCACAGATGGAGAATGCTGTTATAATTACTATGTAAATATCATCAATAACAGCACCTAGAGAAATGGCAATACAAAATGTTAAGAAGCAATTTGGTGCCTTTAAAATTCGGCGGTTTCAAAAGCTCGTCTGCTATCAAAAGTTTTCCTAACTCCTGTGTCATAATAAATAATTAAAACTGATGGTGCTATAAACCATTATCATTTAAACCTGGTCTTTTTAAATTGAGTGGACAAAGCCACGCACCTAAAATTCAGTAGCAGGGTAAGGATGCCACCAAAAGCAGCTTCGTCCCTTTTCCCTTGCCCTTAAAATTCCAACTGGTACCATAGAAAGCGAAGCCTCCCTCAAGAGTTTCGCGAATGCTAGGGAACGGGAAATGCATGAATTTCCAGAGCCCCTTTTATATAGGATCTATATCTCCTTCAACTGCCCTTACCCGCTACACACCTCCAGCTGAGATTTGGGAGCTTCCGCAATTGATAAAGGAAAGAAATATTATTCAAACGTCCTTTAAAAAAGGTATAGGGAAAACGATTCGAAATTCATCTCTGGGGAAAGCGAAGGGTGGTAGACCTCCCACTGCCAAAGGCAGTTAAAAGCTGCTAGTTAGAGGGCATTTATCCAAAGTGGCCAAACTTTCCCAAAATAGTCCTCTGGCGGCCAAAGGGGGAGAAAAGTGGAAAACCAAAACAAAACAACAAGCACACAGCACCATACTGACTGTGCCTCCGGATTACGCAGCCACTTCTCCCTGCAAAGTGCACGCTCCCGCGCCGCGGCCGCAAGCCGAGCAGGGCAAGCGGTGCCCCGCCACGCACCCCTACACACCTGCCTCGGCCGGGGTCCGTCTCTCGCCGTCCACCTGTTGCAGCGCTTGCCACCGCCAAGAAACCCCTGCTGCGGAGCCCCCCTAAATCCAACCACATCCAGGCCAGCGAGTGCCGCTCTCCCTGCGGCGGGAGAGCCCGAGGCAGCAACGCTCTTGCACCCAGGTGACTGACTGCACGGGCTTCCTCCGAGCAGCCTGAAGTTGGCTCCCGTCTACCGGGCCCAATGACACCCCGGGCGCGGAGGGGCTGAGAGGAGGGGGCAGGGGCAGGGCCAGGGCGGGCAAAACTGGGAGGGAGAGAGGGCGGGCGAAAGCCCGGGGGGGAGTGGGCCAGCTGGAGGGCTGGCCCTTTTAAAAGCGGGTCACATGTCCAGATAAAGTTCAGGTTGCTATCCCGCCCCCCGTGCCCTTCCTATTGGCCTAAAGAGAAGCAAGGCTCCACACTGCACGGGTCAGGCGGGCTTCTTATTGGACAATCCAGGCTGTCAGTCACCAGGCGGGCGACATGACTGATACAAAGTTGCTGCGACACAGCCTGGACTCGGCAGCTTCCTTAAAGCCGCAGAAGCGGCGGGAGCTTGGGGTGCCGGGCGGTGGCTACACCAGGCGGCCTCCGCACGCTGCCCCCACTCCCATTGCTCGACCGCTCCAAACTTGCTCACGTCCACCCTGCTCTCCTCCTGGCCGACCCCAGGGTATCTGGGGAGATGTGAAAAGTGTGGTGACGCGGAAGAAGTCGGTTTCTCCGCGAGCAAAGTGTCGTCCCCTCACGCTCTCCACCTGCAGCGCCAGGTGAGCGGCAGCCCTGGAGCCGCCCAACAGCGTCCGCGCGCGGGGAGGACTCTGGGTGGACTTCACCCGACCCCCGAGGTTCCTCTCCCAGCCCCTTTCCTGTGTCTCAGTAGTTACCTCTCGGCAGAGCAGCCGCAGACTTCGCTGCCAGCGAGCAAGAGGATCACGTTCTAACTGGATTTGAATTTGCTTGTTTTAACCGTACTGGAGAAGCCCTTTAAACGCAGCGTTCCTCCCATCCCTTAAATGACCAAAAAAAAAAAAAAAAAAAAAAAAAAAAAAAAAAAAAAAAAAAAAAAAAAAGAAAAGAAAAATGAAAACAGTGACATGGTCAAGAGCTGCTCCTCTGCTTCCTTATAATTTCGTCACTGTACTTACTACTTTAGTATTGGATTTTTCCACTAGTTCGATTTGAAAGCAAGCTTACCATCGAGGATATTCACATTATAATGGGTGGAGGGGATGGGTCACAAAAGTGGGAAAAACAGACAAGAGGGGGAAGGAACCAAACTGTTTTCTAAGGATCGCGGGTGTCTGCACGAAGAAATTTCGGTTTCCCTCCAACCGCCCCCTCCTCGGTTCTCCTCCCGCCCACCCAAATGCTGCAGTTACTAAGCAAAAGGATGGGCTTAACTTTGATTTCTAAGGACTTTTAAGCTCCGCGTATAAGGCCCGGTTCTAGGCTCCCGGCTGGCCCGGAGTCAGCATCAGTGACGTATACACCTAAATCTGGTCCCTGGCCCTCGGCGACCCGCAGCCCGGCGGCGGCAGCTGTGCGGCCTCCCGCCTCACCCTCGCTCCGCGCTCGCCAAAGCCCGAGGCGGGGGACAGGGGGACACCCTATGCCCAGAGGCCCCTCCTCTCCTTACAGTTAGTTAAGCTTCGAGATTCCCGACCCCTAACCCAGGGAGACTTGAACTCTCAGCCGCTCCAGTCAGGAACTCCCTGGAGATAAGGGAGACAGCGGCAGCGCCGCGAGCTGGTCCGGACCCCCGACTCCAATGCCTCTCGGTCCCCAGCGCGGAGCTGCCCCTGGCGCCCCCGCAGCCAGGAGTCCCCGCCGAGCGTCCCAACTTTCCCGAGGGGCCCGCCGTCACGCGCTCTCTCCCTGCACGGCTAGCCGGGCATCGATCGCACCTTGACCGAGCGCGGGCGGCGGGCGGGAGCAAGGGGAGTCCCAGACCTACCGCCTGGGCACGCGAGGCGGCGGCGGCTCAACAAGCGTTGCCGAATTATTCATTCTTAAAGGAACGGACGTGTCTCTTTTACTAAGTTTTTACCTCCTTTGAGGAGGGCCGGTCTTGCCCTGGATCTCAGCTTCTTGCAAAATCTAGGTTAGAACCGTGCAGGGGCAGCCGCCGCGATCGCTCGCCCGCCACCCAGCACCCTTGTCCCAGGGCCGCCGGCGGGCAACTCGTCTCTTGTCCGCATCCCACCTCGGCTCGCCAACCCGCGCCCTCTGCCCTCGGCGCGCAACCTGCCTTGCCCGGGGCCGCCCCTGCGCTCTCCTGGCCCCCTCTCGCCGCTGTCAGCGCAAAGTGACTGTCGCTGCACTCACCTTTTCTAGGACATGGTGGGGAGGCTGGGGCGGGGGAAGGGGGACGGCGAGACTCCCGCCGCCGCTGCTGCCGCCGCCACCAGCAAGTCCAATATTGGCTGACGGGCGGTGAGGATGCAGAGGATGATAATCCCGGGAGTCGCCCTGCTGACGGTGCGTAGAGCAGTAGAGCAATAGTGCTGTTACCCTACGAGAGGCGGCGAGGCAGCAGCGCCAAATCGCGCAGAGGGGGACGCGGGCATCCGCCCGCCCCCAGCGGCGGCGGCCAGGTCTCAGGCGGGTCCCTCTCCCGGGGCTGCGCGTCCGCCTGGCTTTGACGGCGGCGTCCCTGGGAGCCGGGAAGTCCGGCCGGAGGATCCCGCGCCTGCCGCTCCGCAGCGCCGCTCTCCGCGCCCCCTCCCTGGGACCGGGGTGGCGGGTGACAGCTCGGGCGGCCGAGCGCGTGTAGGAGGGGGCAGTGGCAGGAGGAGCCTGCGCCCCACTCCCCGAGTCACACCCTCACGAGCTAGAGGCGGCGGTACCGCGTCCGGCCACCCGCCGATGGGAAACTGGCAGGGGCGCCGGCGGGAAACGGGCAGGGGCGCCGGCGGCCGCCCTCCCACCCCGGCCACTGACAGCCCAGGAGCGGAAGGAAAACTGAGCCCCAAATGCACGCACCCGCTTCAGGCCTCCCCGTAGCCCAGCAAAGTCCGGCCCAGACCTCCCGCCCGGCCTCAGGTGCAGTTCCCACCTGCGGGGGGAGGCGAGGGCTGGGGACCACGCGTGGGGGGCGGGAGGGAAAAGTTTCTTTTCCTGCTCCCCGGCTGCCCACCCCGCTAGGCTGCTCCTCTCCCCGCCCCTCTCCTGCTAGCCGAGCCACTGCCCCACCCCCGCCGTGGGGGGGCGCCGAGGAGGGAGCGGGCGTCTGAGCGCGGAGGCGTGCAGGGAGCGGGCTGGGGAGCAGCGGTGGCCACGGGTCCCCTTGCTCTGACGGCGGCTCAGACGCCCGCGGAGGCGGCTCCGCGGGGCGAGCCGCGGAAGGGGGCGAGTGCCGGGACCCCTCCCCCTCCCCCTCCCCTCCCGGCGCGGCGCGCGCCCCCGCGTCGCCTGGCGCGCCCCCGCGCCCTCGCGCCCGCCCGGGCAGACACCTACGCAGACGCGAAAGTGAAAGGGGGGTGACCCGGCCCGGCGGGCGGCCGGCGGCGCGCGGGCACGCGGCAGGGGGCGGAGGACGGAAGGGTGAACCCGGTTCCCGGGATTCTCCCGCGCCCGCTGCTCCTCTGCGGAGCCTCCCCGGAGTCCCACGCCCCCACCCCGGCCACGCAGATCAGCACGTCAGGAGATATGTATGCGAGTGCGTGTGTGCGCGCGTGTTCACGCGCACTCTCGGGTGTGCGAGGTACGTTCTGCCCCAGACTCTTCCCCCGCACCGTTACACTCACCCTTAGGTGGAAGATGGGGGCCAGGGAGGGGGGAGAAGTGTGAGGGTCCCCACCAGTTACGGGCTCCCCTGCTTGTGATCCCTTTTGACTCAGCCCCGCGAACTGACCACACACACACCCCTTTTCTGGCTTAACATTCCTTTTTCTACAGGGTGTATTAGCCGCCTCCACCTCCGCCCTTCTTTGGGTTCTTTCCCGTTTTATTCCTAAATAGCTGTGAAAGTTGCTAATCCCTTCCCACAGAGACCCGTGTTAAACACCTAGCTGCCCTGTTAAAACAATCACTGCCTTTCTCCTTCCACGTTTCCACTGTCCTAACAGCGAGCTTCCCGTTGCCTCCATCACCCACGGTTTGGGCACCACTCGGTTCTTAGATGGCTCAAGGTAACATTTCGGCCATTAGTAAAACAACCCTTTGACTTTTCTTATTTGTAGGAAAAGCTTCTAGGTTCATGCTTATGACATTCTTAAGGTATATTTTAAGATGATGATCAAGAAAATATTTAAATATCAAATATTTTGAAAAATAATATTCAGTGAGTTTTAAAAAGAAAAATTTAGAAGTGTACTGATGTCTGTAAACTAATTTGGAAATGTGTGCATCAAAAATAAGATGCAGTGACATTGGTGGACTGATAAAATGGACAGAAGGATAGATAGATATGTGAAAAGCATGTTGATAGTGCAATATTAATAGTAGAATGTAAGTGCTAAGTGTAGAGGTATTCACTGTAAAGTTCCTTCAATTTTTTTGTGTGTGTTTGAAATTTTTGATAAGAGAATATTGGATAAAAAGAACCCCCTACTTAAGGTAACCTGTACAGTGTAAATTGTTTCTAAAACTTATAAACTGGGCATTGATTATTCTTTCCCCCTTTACAAAGTGATTTTCTATAAGAATTTTTTACCTAGGTACTCCCACTACTATTTTAAACAATGATTTCAATTAAGGACAACTTGATCAAACTAAGGTGTACAGCGGGGTTATTATAACTGTGATATTTTAGAAATTTGTAAGACTTCTTCCTGTGTTTCTTTTTGTCCATTTCACACACACATATACCAACTACTCTCAAATTTTCATCTTTCCTGCTTTTGAAACAGTTGGTATTATAAAGCTAAGATTGAATTTTTAAGCAGATATGGATATTCTTTTGAAACTTTTTCACAAAATAGCCTGTGAGGAGTCCATTCGTCCTTTTATTTACAGTATCATCTTTTCTTACCCCTTGGGAGAGATGTTAGGAGAACTTGCAGTTATTAATAGGCAAAGCTTATTTGTTTTTCAATATCTGAGTCTTTACACATTTGCCCAAACATTTGAATGATAAGTTTCCCTCAGGTAAACCGCTTTTGTATTTTCTTCTGCTGACTATAAGACAAAAGGTGGTCCTGTGACACCCTGAAAGGTGAACAACTTTGGGATAAGATCCGAGTGTCCCTCATCTGAAGAGGAGGTGACACTGACTTTGCTTGGGATCACCCCACAAGTGATGCCTCAGAGAGATGTCTTCAAAGAAGATGGGTTTTAGATTGTTAGGAATACTCTTCATTCCAATGCCCATTCATAGAGAGCCCTGTCAACTCAGAAACATGTGTGCCTAGCAATGTCAATAATTAGTTGTTTTCTGAGGCGTCTCTTACCAAAGTTTGTTGCTTTAATCTTTTTAGATAAGTGTATTTTTTTCCTGGCAGAAGGATAGAATTTTTTTCAAGAAAAATAAGAGTTAAAAAAGGAAAATTATCACACGAAAAAGGACATTAACTTCATCTCATGTAGCTGCCAGATAGCTTAAAGCTTGAAGCAGCATCAGACATCCCCTTTTGACAATTGTTCACCCTCTTCACAGTCGCTGAACCTTGGGACGCCTCCCTCCCCCATCCCATTAATGTCAAACTCCCTTAGGTTTGCCACCAAAGTGCACGACTCAGCGTTTGCAATTTACATGTGTGACATCACATCCTCTATTATGTAACTTCAGATACAAAGCCTAATATCATCTAAGTTTGTGTTGGAAAAATTCCTCCCTAGCTCTTTATTTCAGCTTTAGCAGAGCCACCCCTTAGTTCTCTGCTCTGAATCCATTCCTTCGACAGCTGACACTGAGGGGTGGGGGGAAAGCCATGGAGTCATGGAGTTAATGGTAAAATTATAAGCCAAAAAAAAATTGAACATACATATTTTGAAATACATTATGTACCTCTCCATTATCTATTTACTGACAAGAAAGTAAAGACCAATAGGTATCATATAATTTAATCATATTCAATAATTTTTAGAAGTTAAGGGCTAAGCATTTGGTCCTAGTTAACTTCATTAATAAGCCGAGCCATGCTGGCATTTTTTTTTCTTTCTTTCTAAAAAGCTGGGATTTTTTTTTTTTTTTTTCAGTCTCTTACCAGCTGTTGGAAAGAGTTGAGAAAGAAAGGGAGAGTCAGAAAGAGAAAGGAGGGGGGTGTTAGAAAGAGTAGAGGAATAATATAAGATAAAACTTCTTTGTTTATTGCAAAACACACATGTTACAGTTTATAAACACTGCAAGCAAATAAGAAATTGTGGACCAGAAGATAAATACAAAACATATCAGCGTTTTTGTTAATATCCAAAATAGTCCAAACTCAATTTCCTAGACTATTTGGAATATTTTTATTAGCTTTGGTTGTTCATTAATTTCTGTATTTGTTTACCTTACTATTTATTCATCTGTCTACCTTAATTCCATTTGTAGTCATTTTAAATAGAAAATATGCAAACTTAATACATTTTTATGGCCAGATTTTGAGATGACAGAGCACCAAACAGCACATGCATCACAATTAGTATGCCATATTATTAGAAGCAAATCAGATTTCACTGTGCCTACACTGATGTTCTAAATTTAGAAATAATGTACAGTAGTTGAAAAAGGGGAGGAACTTAGAGCAGTATATTTTAATAACAATAAAGATATTTTCAATTCCTCTTTTTTCATATATTCTTGGTTTAGTACAAGAAATTCATCATCTTTAAATAACTGTGCTAATCTTACATAAATAATTGCATGATTTGTGTGCTTATTAAAATTATGCATTGAAGCTGTTTCTGTAATATTATGTACAGTAACAAGCACAAAAGAAAGTGAAACAATCCAATGGGTCAGGTGTGGGAAACGTAAGTCTGTTGAACTTGATGAAACACTCGTTTAGAATTTCTCATTAGGACTTCACAGGAGCAGTTAGCTTTTCAGTAGTTGGCACTATATTTTTAGCAGCATTTTAACAGCTGTCAGTAACAACTAAGACAACATCTTGATCAACACTATTTTTTAAATTCTAGCAAAGATGATTGCAAAAAAAAATGCTTCAGGATTTAATCTTGAGCCATAAAAAAACTTACTGTGATATAAAATGTTATTAATGCATCAGGGACAGACAATAAGATATCCTGATAAAATGATGTCACTTGAATTTTTATATTTTATTTTTCTCAACCCGGGCAACATAGCAAGACCCGGTCTCTAAAAACTAGTTTTAAAAAATAGTTGAGTGTGGTGACACACACGTATAGTCCCAGCTACTTGGGCAGCTGAGGCAGGAGGATAGCTTGAGCCGAGGAGGTCAAGGCTGCAGTAAGCCATAATTGCACCACAGTACTCCAGCCTGGGCAACAGAGCAAGACCCTGTCTCAAAAACAAACAAAACAAAAATTAATTTTCTGATGCCTAGGTACACATAATGAAGATAATTTTAAAA